ATTATTAATATTATAATTATTATTATTATTATTACTATTGTTATTATCACCATTATTAACATTATCATTTTTATCATTATTATTATTATTATTATTTAATTTTATAAAGGCTAGAATTATTATTTTTTTTTTTCTATTATTACTGCTGAATTTTAATAATAATGCAATAACAAATTTAAAACAAAGAAAAATAAAATAATATAAATTACAATAAAATAAAATATATAATATTTTAGACTGCATTGCAAAATATGAGTGCACCTCATTTTCTACCGCTAACCATATATGAATTATGTAAACTATTTTCAATACACATTCGCATTACAAAATGATCTTCTATTATTAAATGTACTATTTTACATTCAATATCATGCTTTAAGTATATTAAATATAGCTTTACAGGCAAAATCACTCACTGACTATTCATTAATTAATTATCTGTCCTCCAATTTATTGTACATTGATTCATTTATATGTTTTTGTTTTGCTCAAGATTATTAATTAATCAATTATCTGTCCTTCATTGAATAAAGCTCCAAATTATTAGATGCGTGATGACCAATTAATGTTTATTAATTATTGTTATTGGAGTTATTGTTAATTTTAACTCCAGATCAAGTTTAAAAAGCATCAGCCCAATTACCACAGCTTTATCTATCCATACTCTATTCTCTGTCTGACTTACAACAACAAACAAGACCAAAAAACACAGATTAATGGGAAACTCATAAGACCGGCCTCTCTTCATCTTAATGATGTTCTTCATCGCCGATCGATATGACCTGAAATGGACCATTAGAGCACAATGATTATATAACAGGCAGCTAAACATTATAATATACTGTACTTAAGCGGCACCGTTACCATGCCAACCTGCCTTTGCCTTGCATGGCGAAACCTTAATGAAGTCCTATTAAGTAGCCTATAATGATAGCGTCCAAACGGATTTGCATATATACTTCAGTGGAAGAGGGAGGAGGACGGAGCAAAAAGCTCAACAATCGCAAGATAAGATGCACGTTTAATCCGAAGCATATCTGTGAAAATAACAACCCCGAGCCTCAAAGACGTAATAACATCAAAATCTGAGCCGGTAAATAAGCGGCGTTTGGTGGCACCTCCATTAAAAAGCTCATTAAGCTCAAGGGGCTCAGGATTCTTGATGTGACTTTCATTTACGACCCTGACTGGACATCCCAAAAACATGTTTAATTACATCTCATTGACTTTGCAATAGTAAATAAAAATATTGCGTATTTATTTTACTATTTTTTTATTTAATATAAAATAAATATGCATATATAGGTAATATATCGAGAACATTCACTATTTATTCATCCTTAAATATACAGGATATATGTACATTGTATTTACCTCTTTGTTTGTTTCAAGTCAAGTCGAGGCTTTATTGTCATTCTGGTACTTGTGTGGACATACAGAGGAACGAAATGTGTGTCTTGCTGAACAACGGTGCTATATAAATTAATCCTAAATACAAACACAACACTGGACATAAGAGCTATTTAAAAAACCTATGCATAACTAACATATACTGTAAGATACTTATACACATAAGACAGGCTATACAAGTGCTTTTAAATGAGACTGAAAGATGTTGTGTAGGATACTGTGCAAGGGAGGTATTTAAGGCTGAATACTGTTTGTTTTGCTAATGATTATTGCATCAAAAATTTATATTATCTGTTCATCAAATGTATTTTTTAGCACAAGTTCTGATTAAATA